GTTATAGCTATACCTACGGCCTTTTAACAGGGATCGATTGCAAGGAGGCTGAGGACGTGAGACAAGGCAGTCGTAACATGGGCATATATCTATACCATAGTCTCTAGTCTATGCATGCACTTTCTCATGGCTGTACTCAGTCGTAAAAGTATGATTACCTGAGCATCACAGCAGCACCGCGATAATATTGGTGGGATTTTTAGATGCTGTTCACACCGCATCCAAATAGAAATGTAATTGTGCGTGTGTGCGTGCACGTGTGTGTGTGTGTGCGTGCGCGCGCGCGTGTGTGCGTGTGTGCGTGCGTGCGTGCGTTCGTGTGTGTTCGTTCACACTACTCGCGACCGCTCTAACCGAATTCCTTTTTCTTGTTCGCAGTTTGACACGCTCGTCGGAGAGGTGTTCAAATCCAAGATGGATTCCGAGTCGGGAGATGGCGACGGTGACGTCATCGGACTCAACATGGTGCGCAAGGAGAGGGAGCTGAACATGAAGGAGAAAAGGTTTCTCCTCGCCGTCGAGCACGGAGACATGCCGAGGGTAAGCGCGTGACGTCATGATGCGTCTTTTCCTTTCATCGGATATACTGTGAAGATTACATTTATAGTTAAATTCATAACGAATTACATGTAAGTCTATATACGGCATACACGCTACATACACAACTACATACAACTATATACATACATACTACTACATACAACTACATACATATACTTCTATCAGCTACTGCGAATATTATTTATAGATGAATTTATAACGAATTTATTATTATATATTAGAAGTATGTATACAACATACACGCTACATATAAGCCACGCACTCGCACGTACTGCGAATCCAACCAACCACCCACCCGTACTTGCGCATACACGCACGCACGCACACACACACAATACACACGCGCACACAAACACACACGCGCGCACGCACGCACACACACACACACACACACACACACACACACACACACACACATGTACTCGTCGTACGCACGCACATCTACATGCGTACATACACGCGCACGCACATCTACATGCGTACATACACGCGCACGCACCCACGCGCACACATATAACATAGTCATGTATAGATAATCACGGACACGCGCGCATGCGCACTAGTTGCGACGACGTTGGTCGTGTATGAAACGTTTATAATAACTATAGCACTAACACATCCCGTCACTTTCCTTGTTACGATGCGCTGTTCCGCAAATGCGATAGCTGTAAATATGTAAACGCAATCAGATTATATACTCGTAACCAGTCTAATTGTTTCATGCTATAAACCGCCTTCATGAATATTTATATATCAGTTCGGCTGTTTAATATTAATGCGCCCGTCTAGTATTTCATCGGCGAATTTCTTTAAAAAAAACTTTAAATAATTCATTACCTTTTGCATATTCCGTTGTTATTAATTAAAGAATTGTCATGGAAAAACTGTATTGGCGCTTGCGGGGACAGTGTGGGGGGTACAGATCTGTGCTGCAAATGGCTGGTTCGGTAACTGTGCAGATCTTGATGACTCTGACTGCACTGATCTTTACTTGTACAGATTAGGTGTGTAAGCTTTTACACACTGGTCCTAGAAATCACACGGCTGTTGATGCACTACTGGATATCTTCTGACTAATGTCGTTGCGTGTCTGTGTACGCGTGTGTTTGTTCGATTGATCAATCTACAAAGCTCAACGATGAGATCGATATACACATTTCCCGCATGAGGGCGCTGACGTAACCAGCAGAAGCGCTGACGTAACACAGGCTCAGAGTCGGCAGCGACAATGTAATGATCTCGCTCCCCCGCGCTCTTACTTCCGACCCAACTGGTCGTTTGTCTGTTGCATTTTCTATTTGATCGAAGTGGAATTAAGAATAGTTAAGCTTTGAGTATCTACTAAAACTAGAATCTTTCATACGCGTTCTGTGTACCAGCGTGCTCTCTCTCGCGCGCGTGTGTTTGTCTGTGTGCTTGTGCGTACGTTTATGTGCGACCGCGTGTGCGTGTGTACGTGCGTGCATACGTGCGCGAGTATGTCTGTGCCTGCGGGCGTGCGTGCGTGCGTGCGTGTGCACGACCGGCGGGCTTATTTTTCGGATCATCAGATTCCCGACCAGGTGTTTGCTATACGACCATTGTGCTCCTCATATCCTAATATAACATCAAGAGCGTATAAAGAAGGCTTCTTTATACGCTCTTGATAACATACTATTCTATGTTTCGTACTTTATACTTTTACTATTATTATTTATTATTATTTATTATTATTATTATTTATTATTATTTATTATTTATTATTATTATTATTAGTATTATTACTCTGTGGCGACCGGCTCTCTCCTCTAGTTACACATTATTGCCAAGTGAAGTGACGTAGCATGCTCACTTGGCGCCTTTACTCAATACAACGGTGAAAATGCGCTTTCGAGTGGAATTTTACTCGCGTAAATAGAATTTAATAGACACGTTTACAAGTAATATTTTCACTGTCGTTGGTCAGGTAGAGTGCTGTTAGTTGCAACATTTATAGTGATTTATGGCAAGAAATGCGACAAAGATTGCAAGAGGGGAAAATCAAGCTCACATTATCTATATAGAGACATACAGAGAGACAGGTGGAGTGTGCGTGCGTGCGTGCGTGCGTGCGTGCAACCACACATTGGGGGGGGGCAGCGTGCAGAAGTGACATATGATCAGTCACACCTCTGGTCGATGCAAAATGTGAAAAGCTGTGATCGCGTGACTATAATGGCGCAGGTGACAGAAAAAAAGAAGAAAAATAGTCCGTTGTTTGACTCGCTGTGTGTGTGTGGTGGGTGTGTGTGTGTGTGTGTGTGTGTGGTTGGGGGGGGGGGCGCGGCGCGTGTGTGTGTGTGTGTGGTGTTGTGGTGTGTGTGCGCTGTGCGCGTGCACGTGTGTCGTGTGTGTGCGTGCGGCGGCGCGCGTGTGTGCGTGTGTGCGTGCGTGCGTCGCGTTCGTGTGTTGTTCGTTCACACTACTCTCGCGACCGCTCTAACCGAATTCCTTTTTTCTTGTTCGGCAGTTTGACACCTCGTCGGAGAGCGTGTTTCAAATCCAAGATGGATTCCGAGTCGGGAGATGGCGACGGTGACGTCATCGGACTCCAACATGGTGCGCAAGGGAGGGAGCTGAACATGAAGGAGAAAAGGTTTCTCCTCGCGTCGAGCACGGAGACATGCCGAGGGTAAGCGCGTGACGCGTCATGAATGCGTCATTTCCTTTCATTGGATATACTGTGAAGATTACATTTATAGTTAAATTCATAATGAATTACATGTAAGTCTATATACGGCATACACGCTAAATAACACAACTACATACAACTATATACATTACATACTACTACATACAACTACATACATATACTTCTATCAAGCTACTGCGAATATTATTTATAGATGAATTTATAACGAATTTATTATTAATATATAGCGAAGTATGTATACAACATACACGCTACATATAAGCCACGCACTCGCACGTACTGGCAATACCACCAACCAAACCCACACACCCGTACTTGCGCATACACGCAGCCACGCACCACACACACAATACACACGCGCACACAAACACCACACGCGCGGAACGCACCACAGCACACACAACACACGACACCACACACACACACACACAACACACAGGCACAAATGTACTCGTCGTACGCAAACGCATCTATCGTAAGGAAACATCTAACATACAGGCGCACACATATAACATAGTCCATGTATAGATATCACAGACACCGCGCTGCGGCACTTGTGCGAGCGACGTGGTCGTGTATGAAACGTTTATAAATGAACTATAGCACTATCAGCATCGCCCGTCACTTTCCCTTGCTTAAGATGCGCTGTTCGCAAATCCTGCGATAGCTTGTCAATATGTAAACGGCAAGTCAAGATAGTCTACTCGTAACCAGTCTAAATTGTTTCATGCTATAAAACCGCCATTCAATGAATATTTATTATTCCAGTTCGGCTGTTTAATATTAATGCGCAACTCTAGTATTTCATCGGCGCAATTTTCTTTAAAAAAAACTTTAGAATAATTCATTACCTCTTGCAATTATTCCTTGTTATTAAATTAAAGAATTGTCAATGGCGGAAAAATGACGTATTGGACGCTTGCAGCGGGCAGTGTGGCGGGGCTAGCAGATCTGCTGCTGCAAATGGCTGTTCGGTAACTGTGGCAGATCTGTGATGGACTCTGACTGCCATGATCTTTACTTGTACAGATTAGGTGTGTGAATGATTTTTACACCACTGGTCCTAAAACATCACACGGCTGTTGATGCGCACTTACTGGATATCTTCGTGACTAATGCTCAGTGCGTGTCTGTGTACGCGTGTGTTTGTTCGACTGCGTGCATGATTGTGTGTTTGCGTGGTGGAAAGTGCGTGTGTAGGTGCTTGCGTTTTGGCCTGTGCGTGTGCGCGTGCACGTGTGTTGTGTGTGCGTGTATGTGCGTGCGTGACGTGTCCGGTGTCGTGCGCGTGGCGCGTGCCGTGCGTCGTGTGTATGTCGAAAGTGAACGATAGAAAAATAGGGGATGAGTAACTAATAGAAAGAGGGGTGCGAGAGAGGGAGGGAGAGGGAAAGACAGGCGAAGACAGAGTACATGAGGCCAGAGAGAAAGAGAGAGAGAGACAGAGAGAGAAGAGGAGAGAGAGAGAGGAGAGAGAGAGAGTAGAGCCGAGAAGCGAGACGAGAGAGAGAGAGAGAGAGAGAAGAGAGAGAGAGAGCCGAGAGAGAGAGTGTGAGAGAGAGAGAGAGAAGCAGACGAGCAGAGCAGAGCGCGCGAGGAGGAGAGAGAGCGAGAGAGAGGAGAGCGCGTGCGGAAAAAGACTGTCATCCACGCAAGCCACGTCATGTTTCCAGCGTCT